CACCATGCCCAGCTAATTTTTTGTAGTTTTAGTAGAGACGGGGTTTCACCATGTTGACCAGGATGGTCTCGATCTCTTGACCTCGTGATCCACCCGCCTCGGCCTCCCAAAGTACTGGGATTACAGGCGTGAGCCACCGCGCCCGGCCCTTAATCCTATTTTTGTGTGTGTATGCCATTAATCAGTGAATTTTGGCTCTTTGCAAAACTCCCATCCAGAGATGCTAAAACATTAGGGACTATTCACGAGGGAACAGAATTTATACACACATATGTGTATGTTCTAATATGTTTCGGGGGGATCAGCTCATTTGGGACTTTATCACTTGTAGAATAAGAGATTGTAGAAAGAAATGATATTTATTAACTGGAGTGAGACTTTACCTGGAGAGTCAAATTTACTTTTTATTCATTTTTAAACTTTTTTGTTGTTTGTTTTGAGACGGAGTCTCACTCTGTCTCCAGGCTGAAATACAGTGGCGTGAACTTGGCTCACTGCAATCTCCACCTCCCGTGTTCAAGCGATTCTCCTGCCTCAGCCTCCCGTGTAGCCGCACTACAGGCGCGCATCACCAGGTTGTCTAATTTTTTTGTGTTTTAGTAGAGACGGGGTTTCACCATGTTGGCCAGGATGGTCTCCATCTACTGACCTCGTGATCCGCCTGCCTCAGCCTCTCAAAGTGCTGGGATTACAGGCGTGAGCCACTGTGCCCGGCCTAAACTTTCTATTACTTTTGAAGGATGATTGGATTTAGAGACGGAACATTGTGAGCTAAACCTGAGTTGATTTTGGTCTGTTTAGTTAGGATGCTAGTCTTATAGAACTAAATGCTGTTTGTTGGCAGTAGCAGGAGATAAGGAGTAGCAGAATGAGACCAGAATGTGGAGAAACAAATGAGGCCAACTGAAGCTAGGGAATCTGATTTACTTTTTTTTTTTTTTTTGGTAGACAGGGTCTCACTCTGTTGCCCAGGCTGGAGTGCTGTGGTACCATTATAGCTCACTTTAGCCACGATCTCCTGTGTGGAAGTGATCTTCTGGCCTCAGCCTCCAGAGTAGCTGGGACCACGGGCCGGTGCCACCAAGTCGGGCTCATTTTGTATTTCTTGTAGAAATGGGGTTTCACCGTGTTACCCAGGCTGGTCTTGAACTCCTGGGCTCGAGTGATCCGCCCTCCTTGGCCTCCCAAAGTACTGATGAGCCACCGTGCACGGACTAGGGAATCTTAATTACATTTGCTTTCAGTTAGTAACACATAGAGATATACAGATAGAAATTCAAGTGAGAACAGTGGACGAACAAACATTTGTTCCCCTCCATAAAGCCCTGGGATTCTGCTTTATTTCCTTTAAATTTATTTCTCTAAATGATCTATAATGGAAAAGAGGATATTTTGTTATGTTTCTGTTTTTTTGCATGTGACCCAGAATAAGTTGAAGAGATGAAATTAGACTTAAGTTACCTTTATTTTATGTACATTTAACTTAGAATATATTGTGAATTAATGTATTTTTAAAACATTTAATTATAGTACTAACCATTATTACCATTAAAACATTTGTTTTATTTTTTAGTATTTGGTTTCTTCAAGCATTTTTTCTGCAAGATTAAAAATTAAAAATGTCATCCAAACAAGAAATAATGAGTGACCAGCGGTTTAGACGGGTTGCAAAGGACCCGAGATTTTGGGAAATGCCAGAAAAGGATCGAAAAGTCAAAATCGACAAGAGATTTCGAGCTATGTTTCATGACAAGAAATTCAAGTTGAACTATGCTGTGGATAAAAGAGGGCGCCCCATTAACCATAGCACTACAGAAGATTTGAAACGTTTTTATGACCTTTCAGATTCTGATTCCAATCTCTCTGATGAAGATAGCAAAGCATTGAATCAAAAGAAAATAAAGAAGAAAAAAACCCCAACTAAAAAAGAAGTAGATTCAAAAAATCTAGTTGAGGAGAAAAAGGAAAAAACCAATGCTAATCAGAAGGGTTCTGAAAATAAAACTGATTTAGATAATTCTGAAGGAATTAAAAAAATGCAAACCTCATGTAAATCTAAGATAGATTCAAGCATAAGTCTGAAGAAGGATAGCAAAGAATTTATACAAAAAAGCATGAAAGAGAAAAAAAACATTGTTCAACATACTACAGACTCTTCTCGCAAAGAAAAACAAAGGATATTAGATTCGAGCACCTCTGAAATCGTGAAATCTCCCAGGATCAAGTGTTCTAAGACAAGAAGAGAAATGCAATCAGGTAGGTTGGAAAAAATTAGAGATTCTTGGGTGTTACATTATTTATTTTTATACTGATCTTTCAAAAATGTAAACACATTAATAAGTATTTGCATAGTGTGATGGAATGGTCCAATGCTTATCTGGAAATACAAAGCTATAAAAGAAATATGCAGTGATTATTAATATTTTATGTGGTGCTAGAAGACAGACATGAAAATTTGAATCTTGAAGTTGAACAATGATTTTGATTAGCGGTGAGCCCTGGTGAGAACTATAGTCTCTCTTTTTTTTTTTTGAGACTGAGTCTTGTTTTGTCACCTAGGCTGGAATACAGTGGCGTGATCTTGGCTCATTGCAGCCTCTGCCTCCTGGATTTAAGTGATTCTCCTGCCTCAGCCTCCTGAGTAGCTGAGATTACAGGTGGGCACCATCATGCCCAGCTAATTTTTTTTTTTTTGGTATTTTAGTAGAGACAGGGTTTCACCATGTTGGGCTGGCTGGTCTTGAACTCTTGACCTCAAGTGATCCGCCTGCCTCGGCCTCCCAAAGTGCTGGGATTACAGGAGTAAGCCACCACACCTGGCCAAGAACTATATTCTCTAACCAGATAAAGTGTTATATGTTATAGCATGATAAGAAGAGATGTGTCTAAAGAGGGTAAGTAGACCAAGTGGTGGCTCATGCCTGTAATTCCTGCACTTTGGGAGGCCAAGCTGGGCAGATCGCTTGAGGTCAGGAGTTCAAGACCAGCTTGGACAACATGGTGAAACACCCCATCTCTACTAAAAATACAAAAATTAGCCAGGTGTGGTGGCGCGCACCTGTAGTCCCAGCTACTCAAGAGGCTGAGGCAGGAGAATTGCATGAACCAGGGAGGTGGAGGTTGCAGTGAGCCAAGATTGTACCACTGCACTCCAGCCTTGGGTGACAGAGTGAGATTCCATCTCAAAAATAATAAAATAAAATAAAGAGGATAAGTAGGACTCTTGTCTTAAAAATAAAATTAATTTGTTCAACTGCTTGTTAACTAGTATGTGACAGATAAAATATGACTAAGGCATGGTCACCTATTTCGGGGCTGTCGCTAAGTTATACCTTTATGCAAATTAGATGCAAATTAGAAAAAGGCATGCTCTCTGGACACACAACTCCCAGGGCTCAAACTGGTGAAGAGGTGGCACCTTTGAAGCAACAGCTTTTTGCACCTGAGCAGACACAGCCTCCTCCAGAATGCATGGCTTGATGAGTGGAGGATCGGGCCCTTCTTGTCCTTTTATAAATGCTCTTGTGCAGATAACAGCCTGACAAACTCTGTGCAGTGGCCCTTGTCTAAAGCAACATTGTCCAGTAGAAATACATAATTTTGGATTTTCTAATAGCCACTTTAAAAGATGAAACAGGTAAAATTCTTTTAAATAATTTTATTTAATCCAATATATCAAAAAATTAATATTCAATATAAAAGTCAATGGTATATTTTATATTCTATTTTCTAATTTTTTACTAATACACTATTTTCATATTAATGTCAAGTTGGACAAAATGCATTTCAGGTGCTCAGTTACGACATGTGACTAGGATTACAGGCGTGAGCCACCGCTCCCGGCCACAACACTTTATTATTATACAACCCAAAGTGTGGTATGTGTACCACTGTCATAAGTGAGAAGATTTTTGATGATACTCAAACTTTTTAAATATTAATAGTTATGTACTATGTTATTTACTATTACATTATGTACTATAACGTCTTAGAAAACAGTATAGTTACCCCATCACGTCTGTGACTTAAGGAATATTGTTCAGAACAAAACTAATTTTTAAAAAATTCAATTTAATAAAAATATCAATGATATTTAAAAATCATGAAAATGGTATAATGACAATTGAGAAATATTGCAATACTAGATAGACTGGGTCTGTAAGATGTTATTTCTAAGCTTGTTGCTTAAACGTGAATTTTGTTTACCTCGTAGTAACTTTCAGTGTTGTGTTTTTCTGATCTCATATACAGAACCTATGACAATGCCTTCATTTTTGGGTTTTTTTCACTTCTGTTGGAATCTTCTCTCTTTTCCCTTATTCTACCTCAATTCTTTGTATGTAGTAGATACTCAATAAATATTTGGTCAATGAATCTTACTGTTGTAAGATTATAGGACCAAGAGAAACTTAGTTCCAATTTTATTCTAAATGTTAAACTTTTAAATTTGCTTTTAACTGTCCAAACTTAGAGCCTGTAAGCAGAAACATAAGCTCCAACTTAAAGATTAATGAAATGCCTAAGATATATCTACACATCCATTAGATAGAAGCATGCGATTACTTTAGAAGTAGGAAATGAGCCCTTTCAGAATTGTGAGTACTAAAAATTCCAACTTAAGCAAAAACAATCTTTTAATCTTTGTGTATGGCTAATCATAATAGTCGATTACAAAGTTCAAGACCTGGCAGAAAAGTTATAAATATTATTTTTCTGTCTTTGTAGGTGATCTCATCCATATCACAACTTGTGTTGTCAACTACATATGAATGAATCACTGATCTCCAATGCAGACTTCTCTGAGCTGTACACTCTTGATACTTTCTTTTAGATGACTGAGTGGCATTTCATATTCAACATATTCAAAATTGAACTCATGATTTCCCTCCACAAAACAAACTAGTTCATTTCTAATGTTCCTTTTTCATCTGTCCATCTGCTTAGCTAGCTAGCTCTGAAAGCTAAGAAGCTGTGACTCATCTTTGACACTTCCAAAACTTCCATTACTGATATCAAATCCCCAGTCGGTGATTATTATTATTGGTTTCACTTCCTAACTGACTCTGAAATCCATGTACTTCTCTGCATACATACTGCCACCCAATTTAGTGCTACTTTCATTTCTTGCCTTGCATACTGTACTACCTTTACCATATTCACATCTGTTCTTTACTTTCCCCAGTCAGTTTTCTACAGTATAGTCAAGGTGATCTCAATATGCAAGTCTGAGGATGACAATATCCAAAAGAAGATGACATCCTCTTTGTTGAAAACAGCAGTGTCTTCCCATTGGTTTTATGAAAAAATCCAACCTCTCTCTGTGGTTTTTAGATAGCTTGGCCTCTACTTAACTCTTTATTTCCATTTGTTACTTGATCACGTACTATCTGTGATCTGGGCATGATTGTTGGCTTTTTCCTATTGGCAGATTTTTATAGGTACCTTCCTTGCTGTTTCAAACAAATTTCCGTCTATTAGTCTAACTTTAACTATTTAATTCCTCTTCCTCCTTCAGTTATCACTCACATAGGGACCCTGTTATATCTCCTTAGAAAATATTCTTTCTTGGATAGCTTAGTTGTTATTTTAACTTTTTCTGTATATTGATTTTATTTGATATCTATTCATGTATTCTTTTCACTCAGCTAGAAGTTTCATTGAGGGCACTGTTTGCTCCTCTCTTGCCAACTATTGTATATTGAGCACTTAGCACGTAGCAGGCACACCATTAAGTATTGAATGAATGTCTGGATCTACTTGCATGATGTGGGCATGTGTTAAGATTTTCATTAAATAACTTGGTTGTCTGCTGAATTTATATTTTCCTTTACTCTGTTTCATAGAAGTTATGATTAGGATTTCTATGATAAAAATTGATCAGGCATTTACTGAATTTATATTTGCCTTTACTGTGTTTCATAGAAATTATATTTTTACTGGATTTGATGTCAAAACAATTTGGATTCAGTTTAATTCAGGGTATATCTTTTCTTAATTTCTTTCCCCTTTAACATTTTACAGTGGTTCCACCAATAATGACAAGAGACAGTGATGGTTATGAAAACTCAACAGATGGTGAAATGTTTGACAAAGATGCTCTGGAGGAAGATTCAGAAAGTGTTAGTGAAATAGGAAGTGATGAGGAATCTGAAAATGAAATTACAGGTGTCAGTAGAGCTTCAGGTGATGATGATAATGGAAGTGAAGATGATGAAGAAGAGAATGAAGATGAGGATAGTGGGGATGATGATGAAAGTGACAGTGGCCCTGATCTTGCAAGGGGTAAAGGAAATATAGAAACTAGTTCTGAAGATGAAGATGATATGGCAGATTTGTTTCCAGAAGAATCTGGTTTTGAGCATGCTTGGAGAGAATTAGATAAAGATGCTCCTCGTGCTGATGAGGTAACCTTTTGAATAAACAAGATTATTTGTGAAAAACATAGTATAAGCAGCTTTTATGACTGGTGGAATTGATGTTATTAAGTGGGAAAAGCTTATTGGTAATAATATTCTTGGTGATTCTGATTAAAATTTGGTGTGGAATATTTATGAACTAGAAGATGTCCAAGCAGATAAGGAAGGAACTCTACTTAAATAATGAAAAGTTGCATGAAATTTGTAATACTTGGTTTAGCTAGTAGTTTATATTTCTGTTCGTATGGCGCCTAATAGAAATGCCACAGGGTAACATACTCAACTTCCTTACTCATGCATGCATGGCAAAATAGCTTAGCAAACTTGGTAGTTAAAAAATCAGCTTATGATGATGTTCTGATTTAAGAATTAAGAACCAAGTAAGAGAAAATGCTTATCTGTTATGGTTTACTATTGTTTGGCTCATTCGAAGTTCTCCTTTATATACTGAATTACACTTAGATAACTGTACTGTTAATTTCAAAGCATAGGTGACAGAAGGCATTACATTTTTAGAATCTTTATTTTTCAAGTATAGAGAATGATATGGATTATGTGCTATTTAATTCTTCTCAGATTACACGTCGATTAGCAGTTTGTAACATGGACTGGGATAGATTAAAGGCAAAAGATTTGCTGGCTCTGTTCAATTCATTTAAACCCAAAGGAGGTGTTATATTTTCCGTCAAGGTGAGAATTGATTCATTTTGAAGTAAATATTTCTAGGCATTTTAAGTTAAATCTAATTTTTGTTTTAAGCCATAGTTTTCCTTTTAAGGAAAATAATGTTAAAGTTGTCTAATACGATTGAGTGTGAAACTTCTATAACAGGTATAAATCTTAGAAAGGAAGAGGTAAAATTATTATTGATAGGTTATGTGATTGTTTACACTTTAAAAACCCAAAGAAATAAGAGCTCACTAAAGGGACCGGGTATAAGAAACGTTTTTTAGGCCGGGCGCGGTGGCTCATGCCTGTAATCCCAGCACTTTGGGAGGCCGAGGCGGGTGGATCACGAGGTCAAGAGATCGAGACCATCCTGGTCAACATGGTGAAACCCCGTTTCTACTAAAAATACAAAAAAATTAGCTGGGCATGGTGGCGTGTGCCTGTAATCCCAGCTACTCAGGAGGCTGAGGCAGGAGAATTGCCTGAACCCAGGAGGCGGAGGTTGCGGTGAGCCGAGATCGCGCCATTGCACTCCAGCCTGGGTAACAAGAGCTAAACTCTGTCTCAAAAAAAAAAAAAGAAATGTTTTTTAAAATAAATTGCATTCCTTATTGCTAACACTGGCCAATTTTTTAAAAATTCTAATACTAGAAGCAAAACCATATAAAGTCCTTGGGAATTACCTTAATGAACAGAAATGACCTATGTGAAGTAAACTGTAACACTCGATAAATTTGAAAAACTTACATAAATTTAGGGACACCATATTTCAAGCCAACCTAATGATTAAGAATCCAGGCTTGGCATTATTACAGATCTGGGTTCAAATCATGATTCTCATAAGTGCTATGTGATCCTGGATCCTTTATTAATTAATCTCTCAAATATGTTTACATCTTTCTAACATATCCAAATGGATATAACAATAGTATTGGTGGTTGTAAGGATTAAGTATAAAGGAGCTCACACTACGTATTTAGTGCAGTGCCTGAAATAGCCCTGCCCTCAATCATTAGAGATTGAGTCTCCCTTATCCAAAATACTTGGGACCAGAAGTGTTTAGAATTTCAGATTTTGAAATAAAATTGCATTATATATCTGTTTCTCTCCAGCCAAAGTGATCTATTTTTAAAGAAAATTTCTCAGGATGCTCTAGCTTACTATAGTGGGTTTGGAAGTGAGTCACCCTTGCTGTTTTTATTGAGTCAAACAGGTCTAGATATTTGTGACAATGAATGCACAAATTACGTTGATTCTGTTTTTTCTTTTTAGATATATCCTTCAGAGTTTGGAAAGGAGAGGATGAAGGAAGAGCAAGTTCAAGGACCAGTAGAGCTACTAAGTATTCCCGAAGATGCCCCAGAAAAGGACTGGTATTAAATCACTATAGAACATAAAACTACTAAACCTCATAAATTCATGTCATTAGTTCAGAATTCTGGTCACCATAACAGTTAAAACTAAAGTTTACATTTGTGCCATTCATGGTTAAAACAGGTTGCAAAACAGATTTAAAGTCTGTCAAAAGTGGTACATTATTCCAAGAAGATTTTTTTTTGTGGGTATATTTATATTTCTGTATTCATGAAAATAATTATTGCAGTTTTGTAAAACATTTCATGATTTAACTGATTTGGAGTTCTTTCGAGTTCCTTCAGCCATCTTGCTCTGAATTAGTACGTTTTGCTTTTTTTGAGACATCATTGAAGCTCTGTTTGCCTTGAAATTATATAATTTTTCTTATTTGAGAATCAAATGGAAAAGTGAAAGAATGTTTTTTTATCATGGTGCAGTGTAGAAAATAAAATAGTTTTAAGCCACTAGGTGGCGATCTATTTGCACTTTAAAATGAGGGTTAAATGTATCAGTGACAGAAGAGAGCAGATGAAGAATGTGTGATAACAATGTTTTGTGTGGAAACTTAAAAGAGTGTGTGGTATCAGTGCTTTGTGTGGAAACTTACAAAAAAAAGGAATATGCTGTAGTTAAGTGAAATTAAACTTACAGATTTTTAAGGGAACACTGCAAAATCAGAAATGTCTTTGTAGCTAATGCTTTTCTAACATATTTTATAATAATCGTCATTGGTTTTATTTGAGAAGGTGATATGTGGTAGCAAAGTAACTATTCTATGAGTTAAATTATAGATAGGCTCATGTAATTCCCACACTCTTCTTTTTTAGATACCAAATTCCAATCCAAATACCTGTACCTTGTGAGTGTAAGTTGAGCTTTTAAGTATTTAATGTTCATAAAGGCAAAGTCATGAAGGAAATATGGCGTGGAGTGAAGACCAGCTTGTAATATGTTTTTCTTGAAAAAAATGCATTTATTTTTTAAAGAGAAATTTTTGTGTTTCTGTATGCTTAATGAGTTTTTCCCACTTCAGGACCTCTAGAGAAAAATTGAGAGATTATCAATTCAAACGACTGAAATACTATTATGCAGTAGTAGATTGTGATTCTCCAGAAACGGCTAGTAAAATTTATGAGGATTGTGATGGCCTGGAATTTGAAAGTAGTTGTTCTTTCATAGATCTAAGGTAATCCAGTGTGTGTATTACCAATTTAATCTTTTAGTACAACATGATTATGAGAAGTAAAATATTTGAACTGGTAGTGATCTCAGTTTTATATTCTAAAATGATTTTTTGCTTTTCGGTGAACTCTATTGTGTGGAACATCACTCCTAAGAAAGAAAACCAAGAAAATGCTAAAGTATTACATATGAATCATCCCCACATTTTTGTCCTTTCAAACATATTGGCTCTGTTTTTAAGATGGTGTAACCTACATGATGATATTTCCTTGCAACTGCCTTTTAGAGCAAGGGACCAGATGAGGTAACTTTTAAAAATGCATGGAGAGGCCAGGCACAGTGGCTTACGCCTGTAATCCTAGCACTTTGGGAGACCGAGGCAGGCGGATCACAAGGTCAGAAGTTAAAGACCAGCCTGACCAACATGCTGAAATCCTGTCTCTACTAAAAATACAAAAATTAGCTGGGCGTGGTGGTGCATACCTGTAATCCCAGTTACTCAGGAGGCTGAGGTGGGTGAATCACTTGAACCCAGGAGACAGAGGTTGCTGTGAGCAGAGATGGCGCCATTGCACTCCAGCTTGGGTTACAGAGCGAGACTCAGTCTCAAAAAAAAAAAAAGAATGCACGAAGGAAGGGACAGAGGAATTTGCTAACAGACTGGTATCTCTACATCCATGCTATCCAGTATAGTAGCCACTAGTCACATACGGTTATTTTAGTTAAATAAAATTTAAAATTTAATTGCATAGTCACATTTCAAATAATTAATGGTTACATGGACAAAGCAGATACAGATCATTGCCCTTGTCACAAAAAGTTCTGTTGGACAACACTGCTCTGAATGTAAATGGCTAAATGTGCAATAAGGAAATAAGAATCAACCTTAAGCTTTCCCTTATTTTCATTGATACTTTATGTATATGATATTTTGTATTTGGAATGCTTACCTATTAATAATTATATTTGATCTTCAAAATACAGTATAGCCAGCTGGGCATAGTAGCTCACACCTGTAATCCTAGCACTTTGGGAGGCCTAGGCAGGAAGATCACTTGAGCCCAGGAGTTCGAGATCAGCCTGTGCAGGATAGTGAGACCCTGTCTCTACAAAAAATTTTGAAAGTAAAAATTAGCCAGACATGCTGGCACACACTTGTAGAAGATTGCTTGAGCCCAGGGCATTGAGACTTCAGTGAGCCATGATTATGGCATGGCTCTCCAGCCTGGGTGACAGAGCAAGACTCTCTGACAATAATAACAACAAAAAATATGTAGTCAGTGACTGCACTATCAGAAGTCTGGATCTTTTTGAAACCTGAGGGACCCATATGTGCTTGCACCTGATTCATTAACTGACTCCTAAAGCAGGATTTCTATCTATACAGCATTCCTTTAAATTTAGTGGAATTATAGAGTTATAGGTTATGAATTTCAGAAATTCATATGAAGATGAATTCATTCAGAAATATACAAAGATTATGTCTAACATTGTTTTCCTCTTAAACGTGTGTTTTTTTTGAAAGTTATATGTATGTATGTATGTATAAACTACAACTAATTAGATGAGAATCTAAACTGGTTATCACTGTGGCGTATGTTTAAATTTTTTTTTTCTTCTTAGATTTATACCAGATGATATTACTTTTGATGATGAGCCTAAGGATGTTGCCTCGGAAGTGGATTTAACAGCATATAAACCAAAATATTTCACATCTGCTGCAATGGGAACATCAACGGTATTTCTTAACTTTAAAAAATATGTAGCTGGACTCTATGGCTTTATGAAAAGATTTTTTATATTATAGCATCTTTAGAAATGGAAAATATTAATTTTGTTGTTGTTTTTTCTTGAGACAGAGGCTTGCTCTCTTACCCAGGCTGGAGGCGATTCTCATGCCTCAGCCACCCAAGTAGCTTGGATTACAGGTGTGCGCCACTACACCTGGCTAATTTTTATATTTTTACTAGAAACAGGGTTTTGCCATGTTGACCAGGCTGGTCTTGAACTCCTGACCTCAAATGATCCGCCCACCTTGGCTTCCCAAAGTGCTGGGATTATAGGCATGAGATACTGCTCCTAGCCTCAAAGTATTCAAAATTTTAATGCATGGGTACAAATAGAAATGAGACAGAAGTGTGTCTGCATCTACCATATCTGTGAACCTGTTTTCAGGTTCTTATTATGCCTTTAAGCCTGTGTCAGTTACCTGCTGATGTTTCTTTTTTCTCTTCTGTCTTTCCTACACGCTCTACTAAGTAATACATCAGTTACTAATATCCTAGGGAATAAGGAGAAGTGCTTAACAAATTACCTCCCAGCACAGTTAAACAAAACTAGTGAAAATTTAAAATAGGAGTACCTTTTTCTGCAATGATTCAAAATTATAAAAAGAATTGATACAGAATTATTAAGGTATAATATCATATTACTACATAGTACCAAGCAACCAAAATATTTTTGTCTATTGAAATAGTTTATTACTTAGCTGACTACCTTCTCCATTTTTTTTTTTTTTTTTTTTTTTTTTTTTTTTTTTTTTTTTTTTTTTTTTTTTTTTTTTTTTTTTTTTTGAGATGGAGTCGTGCTATGTCTCCCAAGCTGGATTGCAGTGTCGCAATCTTAGCTCACTGCAACCTCTGCCTCCTGGGTTCAAGTGATTCTCCTGCCTCAGCCTCCCCAGTAGCTGGGATTACAGGTGTGCGCCACCATATACAGCTAATTTTTGTATTTTTAGTATAGACTGGGTTTCACCAGGTTGGCCAGGCTGGTCTTGAATTCCTGAGCTCAGGTGATCTGCCTGCCTCAGCCTCCCAAAGTGTTGGGTTACAGGCGTGAGACACTGCTGTTGGCCCCTTCTCCCTTTTCTTCCAATAACCCTTCTGTCCACAGCTGTACTCTAATACCTACACTAGCTTCCCTCTGCTTTTCCTGTGTGATAAATCACTGTGCTTCTCTGAGGAGGGACTGGTAACAGAGAGAGTAGCTGTATCTGTCACCTGCTGTACTGTGGTGGGCACAGATGGCATTGATTAGTTACTGGGTTTAGTAAAACTCTACATAGTAAGCAAAGTCTAAGAAAATCAGTCATATGAAATATAAAGTCCTGTTATTTTCAGGAACGAAATAATGATTAGGGCCAGCCTGTCCAGGCAGCCAGTGTAGCGTTCCTGGGTCCTGGCTGTACCATCAACATCTGTCCTAGTTCCAGCATTGGTTTGGTGGTTATCAGCTCAGGCTTAATTATCAGAATAGGGATTGTTTCTGAATCCTGTGACTAGCTGGAATTTCTGAGATAGGTGACAGTGATTTTAAGGATCTTGATTCATTGCTGTCTCTTTTGCTCTCCTTTTCTGGGGGCATTGTCCTGAGGAGAAAAAATGAAAACCAAGGATGTGGGACCTACCCTGTGATGAAGACAAAATATCTAGCAGGGCCTTATGTGATAATCGGGGCCATGTAGAGTACAGGAGCCAGTCATCACATCAGTCATGTCATAGATGAATTCATGTATCATGGGAGTATAAGCTACTTCCAACTAATAGATGCTTTTCTCATCAGTGGCTCTTAATCGTTTTTTAAAATGTACCCCACTGAGATTGTGTTACTTTATCAACAGATTTCATATAGTTTGCACATCTCCTGAAATCTTTGAACTCCAGGTGAAAAACGTGTTTTCACTGATTTATAATGTTAACTTTTTGGTTTGAGATAGAGTTTTGCTCTTATTGTCCAGGCCGGAGTGCAGTGGCACAATCTTGGCTCGGTGCAACCTCTGCCTCCCCAGTAGCTGGGACGAAAGGCCTTCTGATTCACCTGCTTCAGCCTCCCATGTAACTGGGATTACAGGCACCCGCCACCACGCCCAGCTAATTTTTTGTGTTTTTAGTAGAGACGGGGTTTCACCATGTTGGCCAGGCTTGTCTCAAACTCTTGACCTCAGGTAATCCACCCTTGGCCTCCCAAAGTGCTAGGATTACAGGCGTGAGCCACTGTGCCTGGCCCATAATGTTAACTTGTTTACCGGTACATTTTCTTAGTTTTTTTCACTGTAATTAATTTACACACTGGTTAATTTTTACTATCAATAATGGAGTCTCCTGTAGATAGTAGAGAACTGGGAGGAGGCACAAGTTAATAAAAATGATTCCCTTTCACAAATAGGATACTATTTATTAATCATGTCATTCATATATATGTTTTAATGTGTCTTAGCTTTTAACTTACTGTTAAACATCCAAGTTAACAACATATATTCTTTAACAAGTTTGACTTGACATTTCCATTTTCTTATGTTATTTTTTCATATTCATTGGTGAAAGGTGGAAATCACTTGGGATGAGACTGATCATGAAAGAATTACGATGCTCAACAGGAAGTTTAAAAAGGAAGAGCTTTTAGACATGGATTTTCAAGCCTACTTAGCTTCCTCTAGTGAAGATGAAGAGGAGATAGAAGAAGAGCTACAAGGTACATGTTAATCTTTTAGTGACCATTAATGGACAAAGGACTTTGACAGTAGATTTAAAGGAAGAGTCAAATTCTGTCTACAGATATACTCACATACACAGTATTAAATGTATTTGTAGACAGTGATTGATTTTTAAAAAATATTTTCTTTGGCTGAATTTAACTATAAATATTTTGTTTAAAACCGTGACCTAACCAAGCATGGCCTTTTAGGCTTTTCCTGATTCATATGGTTGCACAGTTTCTTAGTAAACCAGTGAAATGATCTTTTAGGCACCCCTCCCCTTTGCCTTTTTAAAAATAAGAGCATCATTTAGATTAATTAAATATTTTTACATTCCATTTTTTCAAGTAGTTAGAAAGTAGACTCTCAGTGTCTATAATTATTCCTTTGACTGCTTTTAAAGTTTTCTCTTTGTTTTTTTTGTCTTTCTGCAGTTTTACTGTGATAAGCCTAAAAGTAGATTTCTTTTAATTTATGGAGCTTGAGGTTTGTTGTTGGGTTTCATTTATTTGTGGAGTGGTATCTTTCATCAGTTTTGGAATCTTCTCAGCCATTATGTTTTCGGATGTTGTTTCTTTATCTTTCTAGAACATCAACTAAATACATGTTAGATCTTTTCATTGTATCTTGCCTGTCTCTACTCTAATTTTTAATCCGTTGTCTCTGTACTACATTCTGGATATTTTCTTCTGACCTACCTTCCAGATCACTAACTGTCTTTTCAGCAGTGTTAAATCTGCTGATAGACCTCTCCATTGAGTTCTTAATCTTGGTTATTATATTTTTTACTTATGGGGGTTGTATTTGGCTATTTTTTTCAAGTCAGAAATACCACTTTTAATATTTTTTACTCATTGCCGATAGTTTCAACATATTCTTCATACCTATAAGCAGAGTAAACATGTTTTTATAATCTCTGATAGTTTTAATATTTCATGTATTTTCAGGTTGATTTCTATTGTTTTACAAGATATTTGTCTCTTGTTTACTTGTGTGCCTAGTTAACTCTATGTGCTACTTTGATATTTAAAGTTAGGGTATCTTTAATCAGAGAAAACTTTAATTTATTTTGGTTGGTCTAGAACCACATTTCTCCAAGTGTTAAGACTTGAGGTTCCCTGGCTTCTGCGGTGATTAAATTCTCCATGAGGGCTGGTTTACTTCAGATTGACTATTTCCCTGGGAGTATATCTCTCTGGGTGCTAATATTTAATGTCAGGGTACTAATTGAAATTCCCTCTTTTGTTGGGAACTTTTGTCTTCTTGATCCTTAAAGGCTACTAAAACCACAGTTGAGTTTCACAGCTGTTTTTTCTATGGATCAAGAAACAGGAAATGATTTCAGAGCAAAACAGGTCTTTAACCCTGGGATCATCCCTCTAATATTCCCTTCCTGTTTTTGACAAGTAATTCTTCTCTAACTTGACAGTTCAACTTTATAAAATATTTTTAAAATATTTAATCCAACTTAATTCCAACTTAAGGTCTTCATTGAAAGGGTTAGTCTAAAGTAGTTAGCTTGCTCATAAGAAGTTCTCAAATTATCTTTATGTTTATTCAAGTTGTTTTTGTTTTTTGAGACGGAATCCCAGTCTGTCACCCAGGTTGGAGTGCAGTGGCGCAATTTGGGCAACCTCTTCCTCCTAGGTTGAAGCAATTCTCCTAGCTCAGCCTCCCAAGTAGCTGGGACTGCAGGCACTCGCAAGTGCCACAATGCCTGGCTAATTTTTGTATTTTTAGTAGACGTGGAGTTTCGCCATGTTGGCCAGGTTGGTCTTGAGCTCCTGACCTTAAGTGATCCACCCACCTCAGCTTCCCAAAGTGCTGGGATTATAAGCATGAGCCTCTGTGCCTGGCCTTTTTTTTTTTAATGACCGAAATGATTAATGGTATATAGATGATTCTTGAACAACATGGGTTTGAAATGTGTGGGTCCACTTATAAATGGGTTTTTTTCTGCCCTTGCCACCCCTGAAACTATAAGGCCAAATCCTCTTCCTGCTCCTCCTCTGCCTACCCAGTGTGATGACGACAATGAGGGTGAAGGCTTTTATAATGATCCACTTCCATGTAATGCATGCATAGGAAATATATTTCTCTTCCTTATGATTTTCTTAGTAACATTTTATTTTCTGTAGTTTATTATAAGAATGCAGCATATAATACACATAATATACAAAATATGTGTTCACTGACTGTGTTATTGGTAAGGCTTCCACGGAACAGTAGACTTAGTTTTGGGAGAATCAAGTTACATGTGGATTTTCTACTGTGCCTAGGGTTGGCGCCTCTAACCTCCATATTGTTCAAGAATCAACTGTACTTTTACATGTATATGCTGTTTGCTTAAAATAGCTCACTTTGTAGAAATAAAGCCCCCAGACCCCTTTTTCCCTGTATTTGACCTGTGTCTGTTTGGAAATTGGTTGCCTGGTTGTAATTTCTTGTCAACTTTTGGTTGATGCTATCTGCCTAATACCTTCACATCTTCATTCTTATCTAATAGAAGAATTCCCAGTCATGAAAAATTATGAGTAAGAGGTTTAGTGCTGACAGAAAGTGAAGAACCCGTAAGTGTTTAACATAGATATAAGTATTTTAAATTAGCAAGAATGAGTATTCTTTAATTTGTAGCTTAACATTTTTCAGAGCTTTGTTGTTTTCCTTTTGCATCTGTGTTATTTTTATAGCCTAAATGTTAAATTAAATAAATTCTAAAATGTTTCTTTAGTATTACCATAGTGTTATTAAACCTTGACTTTCTTGGATCCTATGATTGGTCTATCACTGTTTCTTTTAGACTACTGAAGATGACGCTTCATTTTTCTAAGCTTTCCATAAAATACTACTCTTGAACAGTATGGAAAATCATGTTTCATTATTCTGATTTCTTTGTTCAGACCTCTCATATTAATGCAATCACATAATTGCTTAAGTATTTAATACTCTTGGAAAATGTGTATTTGCCATGGGAGTGAGCTGGGCACGAAGAGAGTCAACATTTTTTTTAAGGTCTTAGTGGCTGATGCTTGTTAATTTTTTTGGCATTCCAAATAACTGGATGACCATTTTATTTTTTATTGTTCACAGAACAGCTGAGTCCTTTTTACAGTTATCCTCTGTCTTTTCCCCTCATAGATGTGGAGGAAGACATAATTATTTATCAGTATTTCATTTTTATTTATATGCCTATATGGACCTTTAGAACTTTTCTGAAAATTCTGGTTAGTTTTTCCTCACTAGCAGCTGTAAGATAAAGGAAAAAAGATAACTTTTTATACACACGTGTGAAGATTGGATACAAGTTTTTCAAATAGATTTCTGTTTTGGGAGAACTGAAGTTTAAAATGACATTTTTGATATTAGGGCAGCTAATATTGTGAATAATAAGCATTAATTTGTTAATACTTTCTGGTTAAGAGCTTGGGCTCTGCTGGTTTCAAATCCTAACTTCACCGTACATAGATTAGGTTTGCTAAACCCCCTGTATCTTTCTTCCATAGCTGTGAAATGAGGATCATAATTGTACCAGGCTTATGGTTGGAAAGATCGAAATGATGTGCCGTGTATCATGTATTTTTATATCTTAAAACTTTAATAAATAATGTCTTTTTGTTTGAGACACACCACTTTTTTTAAAGCATATATTTTTCTTCAGCATTTTAATTGATTACAAATTTACTATATCTGTAATTTAGTACCTGTCATAGATACATTAGTATATTTGTATACCTTAGAGTTACTGAATATTTCTGCTTATTGTTTGTAAGAGAGCATAGCAGGGTGGCCTACTGTTAGGATTATTTTTTTTTCACTCCTTATATAGTGTTAAGGCTTTCACAAACTAGTGTCCTTGAGTTGTGAAAAAACAGAGCTACATGACTTACCCCACGTTTTAGAGCTTCAGAAAGTAAAATTTCAGTACTGGAAAAAAATCAGTTTAAAGTAAGCCATCAGAGACTTACTACTAAAATTTTAACTTGGAAGGAGCTTGCTTCTAATTATGTTTTCAGAAGTAAGATTTTAATAGAAAGAAATACTTTGCCATTTGTTAATGTGTTCCTGATGTTTTATCCATTGAATTATGGGATACATGACAGAATTCCATCCAACATTATTATTGTGGTACAAAGCACAAACAGGAAAAAAATGAATTTCAGCTGTTTGAATGAAAATAAAAGTGTGATAGGCTAGAAAGAATGTCCTGAACCATTTTTTATTTATTTTAGAAAAAAATATATACATACAGAAATAGTTACTTAACCAAATTTTTTCTATAACACCTTTTTAAGAAGTAAGGACATTGATTATATGAACTTGCTGAATAAAGAAAAATGTAAATGAATTTTTTAAATTAAAAAAGATACAAGAACAATGTGTTAACACTGATGTTTCCCAGCTAAATGCTTAATAATATCAGACATTTTTGGTGAGCAGTTAGCAATAGGTTATAGAGGAGAGGGACTTCATTATCCTGCTTGTAGAGTTTCCTTTACTTGAGACAATTAGTTCAATAAGTCTGTATGTTTTGCATTAAAACCCAGGTTTCTGATTTGTTTTTAATTTGGAGACTTGCATTGGAAATGTAGAACAAACTTTTTGGTGTATTAGTTTTCTTGGGTATTTATTGCCCATGATTTTTATACTGTTTCTTTGTTTGTATTCTAATTATTTTTACAGAACTAGGAAATGCAAATGTGAATATTTTTCCACACAGTGAAATTAATTGAAGTAACTCCTAATTCATGTTTATTTTTAGTATATTAATGAGATCATTGAAGTAAGTATGCTTGCTTAAAAATGGAAAGGTTCCGTGGGGCGTGCCTGGCCACGTTTTCTGGGACTTGGGTCCTGTGTCCTGGGAAAGTGGGGTATGGCCAGAAAGGTGGTCACCCCTCACCCGTCACATGACACACATTCATGGGGAACCTGGCACTAGACCGTTCATAAATGACCTGCTTCTGGTTCATGGTTTCATACGTAGCAGAGCAGCTCCCTTGCTTCGATCTATTGAAAGTCAGCCCTCAACACAAGGGTTTGTTAAAAAAAAAAAAAAAAAAAAAAAAAGAAAAGAAAAGGTTCCAGTATTGTTAGGTTTGGATTATAAACAACTGCCTTTATCTTGTCTCTTTGGTCTGAACAGCTAAATCTCCAAACTGAGTTCATCCCAACTATATTCAGCCTACATTTATTCAGCGTAACATTTTAAAGCACTGTGCTGGACAATGGAGGACATAAGGAGGGATAAAAATGTCATCTTCATTGTCTTGCAGCTTATGGGAAAGAGAAGCCCAAAGGTGTTATGTGACTGCAGAATTATCAAATATAAATTTTAATGAAAAGGGTGATTCCCAGGCATACTACTATGACAGTGCAAATTTATATTGCAACTGATTTTTATTCTACGTGAGACCCTAAGTCTTTCATTTAATATTCAGAAGTTTAAGTCTGATTTTTGATATCCTGTGGTCTTAACAACGTCTTTTAAAAGAAAGTGACTGTGAGATCTGAACACTAGAGTTACAAGTGAATTATTTCTGTGTATTGTGAATTTTTTTTTTTCATTAGGTGATGATGAAGTCAATGTAGAAGAAGATGGGAAAACAAAGAAAAGTCAGAAGGATGATGAAGAACAAATCGCCAAGTACAGGCAGCTCTTACAGGTTATTCAAGAAAAAGAAAAGAAAGGCAAAGAAAATGATATGGAAATGGAAATTAAATGGGTTCCAGGTAAGAATTAGATACTAAAAGTTTTCTCTTTTTCCAATTTCAGTATGTTGAGTACATTTTAGATATGAAGCAGCTGGAAATGTTTTAGTGAGGATCTTAACATCATATTTGCATACACTGTTTAACTAACTTAATGACTAGCAGTTTAGACTCATACCAGCTTATTCTTGATTAGTTTCTTGATTGATTTACTAACTATAAATTATTCCTGTCCATTTATCAGAGTAGCCTTTCCTAGGTTTGAGCCTGTATTCTCAAGCTATAGAAACTTGAATGAATCCAGGCACCATGTGTTCTAAAGTTATTACACTTCTTTTGAAGATGTTTAATTCTTTATTTTTTTTTCCTTTTTTAAAGATGGGGTTTCACCATGATGGCCAGGCTGGTCTTGAATTCCTGACCTCAGGTGATCCACCCACCTCGGCCTCCCAAAGTGCTAGGATTACAGGCGTGAGCCACCACACCTGGCGAGGATGTTTAATTCTTAAGTGACCTTTTCTTCCATAACCCCTACTAGTCCTTAATTCATGAAGTTTCACTAACACAAAATATGTATTACATAGTCTCCCATCTTCAATCTTGCTTCGAATAGTCAAAGAAACATAGCATAGTAGAATAGAATAATACTAGTACAAAACTAATTACAACCATGTCAAAGCTAAACAAAGATAGAAGCTGGGATAAATCAGGATCATTCTGAGTAAACAGCAGTTGCCCAATTTTCATGGTTTCACTTTCTGCAGTTTGTTATCCAGGATAGTACAATAAAATACTTTGAAAGAGAAAGAGGAAACAGACTATGTTGATATAACTTTTATTATAGTATATTGTTCTATTTTATTATTGGTGGAGTTAATCTTTTACTGTGCCTAATTTATAAGTTAAACTTTATCATAGCTATAGATATATAGGGAAAAACATAGTATGTATAGTGCTCAGTACTATCCACAGTTTCAGGCATTCACTGTGGGTCATAGAATGTATCTTCCTCAGATAATAGGGGACTGCTGTACACATTTTTTTCAACAGTGCTGGGCATTGCAGCCAATACTGTTTTTGTATTTTACTGCTGTTTATATTATATATAACTTTTAAAACCAGGTACATTTTTGGATAAGGGTTTAGTTCTTTAGCCTTTATTAGTCTCTAGGAGAAAAAGTACTAACCAGTTGTAGGAATACCATTGCTTAAAACTTAAAAATGTTCTGTTATCAATTCTATTTTTTATAAGCAGCATGCTTTTATATTGGGAATACAACATTTGTTTTCATGGGTTTTTATTTGGGGAAAAATGAGGGTGTTTTGATATTTGAGGATTGACTGACTATTGTAGTAAATTTGCTAGGATGGACACATGTCTGCTGCATATTCCTGCAGGAATGAAGTGCTGTGTTGCAACCCATTTGTTTTAAATGTTTGGCTTCTGCAGGAAGTGGTGGTTAAAAACAAGTGAAGTTTACTGGTGTATCATATGACACGTGGTTGGGAGAACTCAGTTGATTTGGCCTGGAGAGGAAAAGTCTAAAAAGTGACTTTAACAGCTATTTTTAAGTACTTGTGGGATATGTAAATGAAGACTTAATCTCTTTTATTACCTCACTGGTTAGCACTGCTGCCACTGGATAAAAGTTGGAGGAAGGCAGATTTTAATGTAATAATATAAAGAGGAATTCTCTATATTATTAAAATTTTCTGGCAAAAAAACTAAAGTCTGCTTTAAGGCTGCTCTCTGTGTCAGTAAATTTCCACAATAAGGCTACATAATCATGCCACTCAGAGATGTTTGTGAAGAAATATTTTACTTGAGTCCCTTGACTTTATGATTCTAAGAAATGTTGAATTCTGTCTTTTAAGTTGAATACATTGTAGTTTAATTCTAATCTTAGAACAAGCTTATTGAATATATTTTAATATGAACATTTTTAAATTGAGGTATTCAGTTGTCGGTTTGAGAAAGCAGATCTAAAATAAACTGGATTGAGGTGTTTCATAGCAAGTATTTCAGAAATATATAATGCCAGTTATAAGGTACAGATATATGTTATAGGTTCTCACACTAAGTGGACCCCATCTAGATTGCGTCTTTGTTAACATAGTTATGAGGCTGGGTGCAGTGGCTAACTCCTGTAATCCCAACACTTTTGGAGGCTATCGTGAGTGGATTACTTGAGCCTCAGACATTCGAGACCAGCCTGGGTAGCATGGCAAAACCAGTCCATCTCTACAAAAAAAGACAAAAATTAGCTGGGCATGGTGGCGTATGCCTATAGTCCCAGCTACTGGTGAGGCTGAGGTGGGAGAATCACCTGAGCCCAAGAAGGTTGAGGCTGCAGTTAGCTGTGATCATGCCACTGCACTCCAGCCTAGGCAACAGAATGAGACCCTATCTCAAACAAACAAACAAAACATAGTTATGTAGGGCAAATACCTAAAAGTATTATTTATACCTATATCGGTAACTGGAAGATTTAAGCAATGCTTATGTTTCCTGGGTTAAACCTCCATTTGGTCATGGTACCTTATTTTTTTAAATATATTCCTAACTTAATTTAGTAATATTTTATTAAAAATATGTATACTTGTGACAAAGAGTAATATGATCTGTAGTTTTCATTCCTTGTATTGGTTTTTGGTGTCAAGGTAATGTTGGCCTTATGAAGTGGAAATGTAAAATGAAAGATTATCATCTGTGATTCCACTATCCTAATTCAACCACTGGTTAAGAAGATTTCAGTTTAATTTACCATTTCTCTGCTGTGGAATATTCAATCAGATTTCTACTCTTTCACTGCAGTGGACCTATAACATTGAAACAAAACAAAACAATAGGGCAAATCCCAAACCCACAAATATCAAGCTTTTCTTAAATCTCTTCATTTTTATCAGCAGCCAAGTAATTGACCTGCTTTCTCAGGGCCTTTTAATTTTTAAAACAAAGATGTGTTGTTCTCTCTTCCAGGTTAGAAATGTTTCCAAGCATGTCAGGACTAGTAGAGAGCAACCAGGCCACAATGAGACGCTGATGCTAGCATTCAGGCTTAATTCAGTAGTTAGTTACGTGACTTCCCTGCTCACACAGCAACTTTACTTGTGCTGTAGATCAACCTGTGGTTCTCTCACAAGCTGTTAAAACTACCAGTGTCAAAACCTAAAATGTAAATCTCAGATGCCAAGTATCCGGGATGTTATAAATAATCTATAGCTTTTTCCATATTTTGAATTATTTTCATAGGATAGTTTCCCAGAAATAGAATTACTAAGAAAGGGCATGAATACTTTTTGTGTCTTGAAGTTACTACCAAATTGCTTTCCAAAAGTGTTGTACCAGCTTATAATACCTTCAGCAATCAGTAAGAGTGTCAGTTTCACGGAATTATTGTCAACATTGGGCATATATTTTTTATTTTTAATTGAATAAGGGACAATTGATATTTTAAAGGTAAATTGCCATATTTTTTTTTTTTTTTTTTTTTTTTTTTTTTTTTTTTTTTTTTTTTTTTTTT